CATCCTCAGCCTCTTTCCATGATCAATGAAACATGCCTTGGGTACATGATGCTTAGTTTCTTAAAATCATATCTTTTCAATGATGGTAACCTTACTGCTGTGTTTGGAGGCCAAACCATCATCCACCAGCTGAAGATGAGTGCCTTTGACCAGACGTCTCCAAGCCTAGTGATCTCCAGATGTGTCCCACTTCAACTCTCTTCTCTTCGGACACCGTGGGGATAATGGGACTTGTACCCTGACTGATCTGGAAGGTGCCTTCATTATTCATCGTGCTGCAGAAATAATCCAGTTTGAGACCGCTTTAACTGCCCTGGCTAGTGCTAGGGAATCCTGGGAACTTTAGCTTATTGTGCCATCAGAGTTCCCTGACAGAGATGGCTAAATGCCTCTAAGATAGTACAGTTCCCAGAATTCCCTAGCATTGAGCCAGGGCAGTTAAGGTAGTCTCAACCTGGATTATTTCTGCAGTGTGTTTTGGACCTTAGATCAGGGTACAATAACACCTCAAATCCACAAATCAGTGAGGCCAAACAAAATGCACAAAATACACACTGCAAGCTTTCGAAGCTCCGTTGGCTTCTTCATCTGATCATTTGCTTGATAGATGCTTTGATATTTTCTCCTTTTCTGGATATATATATATTTCTGGATATATATATATATAGTTTTATAATGTTTCGTTTATCGTTTTGTCCTGATCTTCATGGTAGTCACTTTGTCATCCCCTCCCACGTTCCTCAGATGAAAACTGGGACACATGTGGCTAAGCAACATCGGAGTCTGGTCAAGATGGGAAGCATTTATGAGCGAGGAAGAAGACACATGGTCTCTGAGTGCATGACATTTCCCTCTGTTAGGTTGTTTGGTATGGAACTGATTTCCACATCTGTGATTTTGAAAAAAAAATACAAACAAGAGTCTGCTTCCAAAGATTGTAAATGTGGGTCTGGGCATCTATCCTTCAGTGCAAAATATAAAATAAAACTTAGTGGGATTTTTTTTAACCTTTAAAGCTAAAGGCATTCCCCATTGACAAGGTTGTCAAGTCATGTCCAACCATAGGGATGAAAAGCATGCATTTAAAGAGTTGAAAATCATAGTATTCTGTCTGATAGGCACACTAAAAAAGGTTCCAGAGAAGAAACCAATAACAACACAAGTGACCTTTCTCAAGTTTATTTGCAAGATCTGCAAAGATTTTCCCCTTTGTGAGATTTCCAAATAAGCTGGACTGGGAGTGGAAGAGACAATCTTTATAAAGAAGCATTTAACCTTCCTATGCTTCTTACAAGCCATTTATTGCTGAGATATTGTACTTTAATCATAGGCATGGAGTTGGATTTACTCATAATTAGAATAAATGCAATCACAAGATAGTCCTAACTAACTGAAATCCCATTGATTTCTATTGGGTTCCTCTAAAGATGACAAAGCCTGGACTCAACTGCTTGTTTTGACAAGTCTTAGTGTTAATTTTAAAAGTGAATTAAGGATTACCATCCATAGTAATGCATTCTCCTAGGTTGCAACTACCCAGTGATGAAACTTGCATTCTGTAGCAACATTTACCTGGAAGTAAGTCCCATTTAATTCAATGTGGTTGGAGTAGTTGTCAACATTAGGTGCTGAATGGTGATGTTTGTGGTGTCTGAGAGATTCTTGACTTCAAGTGGTAAGAATTATGCAAACCAAAAGTACTGGATAGTCAATGTCTTTCACGGCTGCATAAGCAGAAAATAACTAGTGTAGCATTGAATTAGAATAGTTGGCATATTTCCCAATTTATGTGGATATTCATTTCTCCCTCTTGAATGTAATTGATCCCAATGACAGCACACTTTTCGATGTCTCCAACGGAAGTTACAGTAACACAATACAAGCCAGTTTGTTGAATGAATCATAAAGGAGCCATGGAAAGAAACAAAGTTCAGGGCGTGCAGGCTTAACACACCCATTTTTTATTGTAAAAAATAATAAAATAAACCACTATGTTAGATAAGAGGGCATGGCATCTCATACATACATTGTAAACCAGTTCACAACTGATATCAAAGGCAACTGTGCCCAGATGCCAAACTTCTGGAACTGACAAGCAAAATTATAGTCTCCAACTTGACAGGATAGGTTGGTTTGAAGAAATGCATGGAAACATTTGTGTTAAGAATTTTTTCAAAATTGTACTGCATTTTATTTTATTTTATTTTATTTTATTTTATTTTATTGAGATGCTGCATGCTGCCTTCAATCCCATGATGAGAGAAAGACAGGATATAAATCAATTAAATGAATACATATCAGCTTAATTCCAAGGGTTAACCATGTATAAATTCTCTCCAAGGAACAAGATCTCCCAGAATTGCAGTGAGGAAAACAGTTACTTTGCACTTTCACAGTTCTGCAAAAGGTGAAACAAAGTAACCTGTTCAGGGGAATTGCATTGATTCATTTCATTAAAATATTTCCCTCTTGCTCTGTATTTGAAGATCTCAGAGTAGGATACAATTGAAAGACATTGTAAGCAAGTTAATTCAATTTGACATAACCTCCTGCCTCCGATACAAACAAACAAAATAAGTGTTTGTCGATTTCTCTGCATTTGAAGGCCTGGAAAACTTTCCTGGCTTTGAAGGAGAAATGACACATGACACCAAGCCAAGCAAATTAAAAATATTTAATAATAAAACTAAGAGATCTCTTTTAAGAGGTGTTGATCTTTAATAAGACTTGAAACAATTTGGCAGGAAGAAGATACATTGGTCAGAACTATTTTTTTCATCTGACCCTGGAGACTTGAATTCTTTTAGAGCCAGTGTAGCATAGTAGTTTGAGTGTTGGACTATGACTTTGGAGACAAGGGTTCGATTCCCAGCTCAGGCATGAAACCAGCTGGGTGACCTTGGGTAAGTCGCACTCTCTCAGCCTCAGAGTAAGGCAGTGGCAAACCTCCTCTGAATGAATCTTGCCAAGAAAACCCTGTGATAAGGTTGCCATAAGTCAGAAATGACTTGAAGGCAGACACCAAGAACAAAGCAAGGTATTCCTTTATTATCTTTTTACCTATTTTTGGATTGGTATCCAGATTTGTTCTGTTTTCATCAGGTTGAGCTGGATGGACCAATGGTCTGACTCAATATACGAAAGCTTCTTATGTCCCTTTCTTAACTCAGAAGTAAGTTCCAGCGATTTTCTTTGATGTTCATGGGAATCCTACCTTTTTTTTGAAGAGAAACCCACTGGTTCCCTATTGAATTGGAAGTAATTGTATAGCAGAGCATAGCCATTGTGTCTTCTGTCTCTGTTATTTCAGGGTTCTTTAATTAGAAGGTCTTGCTTGAGCTGCATGCCTCAATACACTCTCTACTCAGTACAGTACTGTATTGCTGTGGATGAATCAATAACAGCATTAAGAAAGACTGTTTGCCTGCGAACAAGTCAGCTATGAGTATGTACTTTGCAAGAAAGGGAGATCAAAGCAAATAGCTCTTCTTTTCTTGTCCCTGTAGTGTAGGAAGATAGAAGCAGAGCTGTAAAATTGTCAGAAATACTGCATCCATGGGAAACACTCCCTACAAATGGAAAATTTGAAAAAAAATATATGTGCAATCTCTATGTTCTTATCCACTGTGCTACTATAAAGCATAAAGTGTTTAATGCATAATTTAGGCTGCAGTTCTAAAACCCTGAATCCCCAATTCTTCTGTACCCTCTCCATGCCTTTTTGCCTTCTTGGCAGTGCCTCTGAGAAACTTCTCCCCATTTGCTGTCCCTTAAAATAAAATAAAAATACTTACTGATGAATTATGTCAGCCCCCTTTTTTCTGCTTCTAGGAATGTTGCAATGATGTTGACTTGGATTCCATAGGATGGAGCCATGGCAGTTTAAAGTGGGCACATAGTGCTATAACTGTGTAGTGCGAATGGGCCCCTGGAGCAGATTCACTACTCCACTAATGTAGGAAATACTAGCTGGCTCTGGGCTAGGAAAAAACTAGGTGTGGATTTTTGTGCAAAAGGATTTGTGAGGTTGATTTTGGTGCTGATCGCTGATTCTTGAACTCAGCATGTGCTCAGAGGCTCCCTATTCTTTAATGTTTAGCTCATGTCTGCCTCAGCCCACATTTTACACCTAGCCCAGCTCTTGTTCTGCACACAGGTGCACACTTTTAAGTTGATCCTAAAGTCTGACATCTGCCCGCTCCTGGCATACAGTATGCAAGGATTATTCTGAACAGATTGTTTAATACAGTCAATTGAGACACCAGTCTGGGGTGCCAAATGCTGCTAAAACCATACTTTAAAACTCAGCTTGAAAGCACTTAGCACTTGACTTACTTTAAAACTCAACTTGAAAGCACTTAGCACTTGATTTATTTTAATACTCAACTTGAAAGTGGTGGGAATGTGAGAAAGGTTACTTTGAAGATAAAGTGTGATGAAGAACCATTTATCCCACCGTGAAACTGTTGGAGGAATATTGTGATGTAAATGTAATAAACAAATCACTATAGATAACAGTTTGTAGTGCTTCATCCTAAATTGGACAATATAAAAACGGAAATCTCTCTGTGTGTAAAGCCATGTTTTATTTGTGAACCCAGGGCTCCTTCTGAATCTTTGCATCCCAGCTATCATTACATAATGACAGATCATCTCAAAATAAATCCATCTCCATTGCTTTAAAAAAACTCTTTGTGTCTTTCTATAATATAAGCCCTGTTAGCAGTGTATATTTTTAGTAACCCAAGTAGGCATTTTGAGCCTTGTTTTCTTACAGGCTCAACCTCTCAATTGCCTTTCTCTCCTTCGTCTTGGATGCAGAGTTATAATTTCATAGTGGTTTTTCGGAAAGCTATGGTGAATGAGATATTTGGCTTCCATAAAATCCTTTTCGTTTGCTTAACTCGAGGCTGGAAAACCCAGAGATTGTTGAACTTGAATTGTTGAACTTGGTCCTTCTAGTCTAGCAAGGGGTAAAGGATGATGGGAGTAGCAGTTCACTTACATCTGGGGGGCCTCACATTCCTTATCCTTCCCTAAATTAGCTCTACCCTTGTTTTATCCTATGGACCAACAGGCTTGTCCCATCTACAGAAAGGATACAAAAGGAACAGTGATATATATACTCTAATAATTTTAGATTCTGGATTTAATCATTTTATGGAGTGGAGGCCAAGATCCTGGATCACAAGGATTGATATATAGGTTTATGATGTTGCTGACATGATGCACAAGCATGTTCGGAAATGAAGGTGTGCAATGGGATACCCTGTAGGATTCCGATTCTGCAATGGAGACTCTCACCACATAATAGGGCACCACACAAGATGTCCTGTTATGCAGCAAGAACACCCATCCATTAGGACATAATGAAAAGTGGAAATATTTTTCCATCCAGACACAAGGGAGCCATGACATTCCACTGCCCTCCCTTCTAGATTATCTCCATGGCTCTGTTGGAGGCTATTGCACCCCCCCCCACACACACACACACTTTGTGCTGTGGCTCCACTATTTGCTTTGCTTGTGCAATGGTCCCAATGGCCCAGGTATGAGGATCCCCACCCCCTTTTCTGGGAATATCACCATTTCTGCAATGCCACAATGCTAAACTATGCAATCTGTTTTTATGGCATTGTAAATTCCTAGCAGGATGCCACCTGGGTTGTTTAGAAGAAATGTGCATTGCTGACTTCAAAATATGGCAAGCCATTCCTGCTACCAGACCCTGCATGTTGTAGTGGTTTGAGCGTTGGATGATGACTCTGGAAGTCAGTTCCTTGCTTAGTCCAAGGGTGGGCTAAGGTGGACTTGGGTGAGTCACATACTCTCAGCCCCAGAAAACCCTGTGATGGGTTTCCCTTAGGGTCGCCACAAGCCAGAAACAACGTGAAAGCACACAATAACAATAACAATCCTTGCTTTTCCTTGGAGCACTGCTGAGAGGTTTCCAAAACATCTGCCCATATGATCTACCCAGAGGGCACCACTGAAAAGCAGGACATAAAAGGGGGAAACTGTAACCAGTGAAATAAACCTGGGAATTGCTCTCTCCTTAAATGAGTGGGTACTTGTTCGTGATGAATGTACAGCAGCAAAAGCAGTACCATTATATAAGGGAAGCAGCTGAGTGCCACCCAGCTAAACTGGAGCTCTGGCAATGTGGTGTAAATATCTGGGAGTTTCCCAGGGCACAATGTGCTCAAGCGTAGCTGTACTTTGATTCTGTTCACATGCTCAGGAGCAGAGGACTGGGTAGAACATAGAAGGCAAGACATTTGGCAGGTTCCAAGCTTGGAAGAGTTACTTTTCTGGACTGCGGTCCCTAGAATGCCCCAGCTAGCACAACTATCCCCAGCAGTTCTGGGCAGCCTTACAAAATCCAGCATTACTGGCAGGCAGCCTTATCTTGTAGTACATTTATCATCGTCATCATCATCATCATCATTGGTATTGTAAAGTTTTAATTATCACCTTTTAAAAAAATTGGACAGAAAGTTTCTTTTGATTTGTAGTTGTTAACTTTTCTCTCTGTCATCACCATCCAGATTTACACATTTTCCCCAGTGTTTCTTGACCCTCTGAATACCGTTATTGTAGAAGTCTGTAGATTTCACCTTAAACCACTCTTCCACTTCATAAACAAAGGCACCTGTCAAATCGGTGACCCTACAATGGATTTTTCATTTTTGGGAAAAGAAAAAATCACTTGGTGATGATGACACTGACAAAATTTCATCAATATACCATAATAACATCCAGGTGATAATAATTATTTTACGATACCCCCTTGAACTTCTCCATCTTACACTTTAGTCACTTCTGGCACAACCTGTAACAAAAATAAAGAACATAATGAGCTGATTTTCTCAGCAGCATGTTCTTAGGGACCAATGATGACACTGGCAAAATTTCATCAATATACTATAATAACTTCCATGTGATCATTGTTACTTTACAATACCCCCTCTTGATGATGATGATGATGATGACGATGATGTTTCCAAGTCCTGCAAACTTCTTCATTTTCTTTACATGCTGATAGTCCCAAAAGCAGAAGTGTTGGTTGGTTGTGAAGTGTGAAATGAGATATTTCTGCTTTGGTTAAAAGATCTTTTCCCTTCCAAAGGGGATGTGTGACACCTCTTTGAAGCCCATGATGAGATAAATTAAATAGATAGATAAGATACGTCTTAACCCTGCTCTTTCTTCTGTGTGGTTTGGTTTTCCACTTGCAAAGCACAAGAGAATGATCCCATGATAGATAATTAGATAATTGGGCCCATGAAGTATCTATTAGCTGGGTGAGTTGTGTCCCTTATCAGACTGTAAAGTATTTATGATTTCAATATAAAACTTGCAAGTGTGTGTGTTTTACATATTAGGAATTAGGCCATCTAAAGT